TGGGCTTAAAAAACACAGCAAGGAAGCTGCTAAAAGTCTGTAGAATATTCTCCATAAAAGTAGGTCTTCAATCATATATTTTCTAAAATGTCTCAACATCATCCAAGCTGTCAAAACCAATTCAAAACATAAACTCTTATTCCTCAAACTTGGATGCCACATATGATTACTCAATATTCCCAGAATATTCAGTAATTTAAAACAAATAAATCCAAGTTGCAGACCTGTACCAGACAAGATATTGAATAATTTAGGACATGACATCTTATTCGACATGTTCTTCTAGTTAATATAACATCTTACTTCGACATGTTCTTCCAGTTAATATAACATCTTACTTCGACATGTTTCTACTAAGTTAGTTTTACCAAACATAATGCCAATCATAAAAATAGAGAATCAACAATCTCCCCCTTTGACTTATTTTTTCTAAAACGACTTAATACTCCTTGCACACTAAAACAAGAAAACAACTAAGGTTTGAAAATAAATCAAACACATATATCAGAGGTGTAACAGCCAATCCACACATTATACAGTTAGCAGCAGAAAAAATCATCAGAGTACAGTGGAAGTTACTCATCACAGAAACATGGAGAGAAAAAAACAACCGGTATAACTATGGGACTCCCCCTTAGAACCTGTTATAGAGAATCAGAAAATTCTTCACTTCAATAGTAGCAAGGTAGCCAGCAACAATCAATGGTTAGTAGTTAGTGCACACATCAAACTACATACTCAACATACTACATACTACTCCCATTTTTTAGCCATAATAATGACAAAGGCAAGCTAACCAGAAAGGACCACAATAGCACATAAACACCAACAAAGCACGAGGTGTTAACACATGTTCTGGGCATTAAACTCTTATAAAACCAGAAACACCATAAAAACAACAAAATCAAACAGGAGCATCATCACCATCAACTCGATAGTCGATGAGACAACTTGTCTTAGAACTTGCTCTAAAATATATGTACCATAACCAATTCTAGTTCTTGTACCAACAACATATATGAACTTTCCCAAGAACCTATTAATTACTATGGGAGAGAGATGTCCAACATTTCCCTTAACATACACTTTTCTGAAATCTTGGCCATCATCACATCCAATGGGTATGTTCATTACAACCACTTGGTACAAGTCCTAACATCCTGATTGATATTCAACTCAAGTTGGAGCACCAACTTCGTCAGCATCATACTCAGACCTGAATCCACCATGTGATATGTCTGGCCCAGGGCATAAGATTGTTCCAGGGAAGAACCCTCCTAAGAACCATTCAACGACACATACAAAAGATTAAAGCAGAACCACAATGCTCCAAATCACAAAGCTTTCCACTGAATTCCAAGCCTACTATTTCCAGCCAAGCTCAGTTGAAAAACTGAACACAATACTAAGACATCATGTCTGACATCTCACATCCAAAAACAGAACTCCCTTTGAGCCCTACAACCTTCAGAGATACAAGAACACAAGTTGTATGAGAGCATGCTAGCTTTGTTCAGACTGCAACCCTACAACAACACATCAGACATGTACACAACACCTTTTTTAGTTAGGCAAGATGTGATGCACATAGGATTTGACATCAGGAACTTACACTTCCACAGGATAAGAACACTTCCTCATGTTCCTTCCTTCACAACCTCCCTTAGAGGTACAAGCAGCAGATAAGGCTACTTCCTCACAAATGATTGAGCCCCACAGAGATCAGAGCATTTAATCTTGCACATGTGGATTCTTCATCATGATAGATACTCACACCACAAACCACATCAGATTTGGCCAATGGCTTAACTTTAAACTCCATCATGATTAGACATTATGATTCTGAATCTAATGGTGAGTAATAATCTCCACACCATGAACTCCAAATTAGCTCCCATAAAAAATAACCCTCTTTTCTGGAGAGGTAAACAACTGAGATAATGTTTCAACATCAGTTCAGACATCAGTCTCAATCACAAGAATTTAACCGTTTACAATGGTTCTAGAGTCAACATCCATCAGAATTACTATCTCAATAGTAATCCATACACATATCTTTGCAAGGAATGCATGAGAACCATACTAGGACACTGATAAGTGCAAATAGTAGTTATTTTTGTATACTTTTTGTTGCACATATCGAATTTTTGTTGTTAATAACATTGAATAAACCCGACTTTTGTGTAAATACGTTTAGTTTGTGTTTATTTGTGTTTTTGTATACATAGTGTATCGGTTGATATTTTTCTATTCATTTTGTAGGTATTTGTTACATTTTAGAGCATCGAAGAATAAGGTGACGAAGGAACGGCTCCAGATGCACGTTTTCGGAATAAAAGACCAGTTTTTTGACATTCTGTCCAAGAGAGTCTGCTTAACGCGTAGAGGCCGCTAAGTGCGAGAGCCGCTCAATGCATTTTGTAGCGCACTGCTTGTGTTTGACAATTTAGCATAACCAATGTGTAATACGGTGGGATAATTGACTTTATTGGTTTTTTATTTTATCACAAATATTGCGGTTAGCAAGAGCCGTCTCCTACTTTTCTTTTATCCAACAAAGGAAAGGGTGAAAAGAACAGGAAGACCTTTTCGAGAATCTTTCTTACTAAGGGGAGTAGGTTATGAAAAGAGAAGGTGTTAGCACCCTTTTCATCCATAGTTATCTACGGGCTCTTAGTTTCTAGCTCACTTTGAAAATACTTTTTTGTGTAAGTGTGTTTTGAAAATATTTTGAAGAGATGCCTTAGTGCAAAAAACTTTGTAATGATTCTCGTATCGTTGAGAATGCATACAAAGTGTTTTTGTCTTTGAAAATATTTTGAAAAGAGAGTGTATGTGTGGGAAATTTGTTTTGTTATGTGAGCAAGCAACTACAAGTTATCTACCTACTCAAAAGATCTTTGTTATTTTCCTCGTTTCCTTTAGATAGTGATATCCTACCATTGGTTAGTATGCATCTCTATCATTGGATGTTTGAGGGACAGGAGAGGGTCATCGTACAGTCACGAAGGTAACTCGTAAGACACTTTAGCAATTACCCTAAGGTACCAAGATCATTTACCGAGGCAACATCAAAGGGTCGTCGAGGGACTATGATCTTTTAACCAAAGAGTCTTTGCTAAAATTTCCCACGTTTGAGAGACGTGACTGTTTATTTTCTGAAGGCAACAAGTGGAGGTACCTTAGAGGTGCGTGTGTGTGAAGTGTGTTGTGTTTCAATTATTTATCTTGGATATTTAGGTTTTCTACTGTTTGCTTTTAAATCTTGTCATGCAAACCTATTAACATACATCTAGCAGTTAAATATATACAAAAAAATAAAGATGCAGGAATTAAACTACGCTATTACATCACTTCGGGATGGGGGAGTACAAACCAAAATGGGGAGAAATGTAAATGAATCCTAATTTTAACTATTACAGACTGTGGGCAATTACATAAATTATCAAAAAATAATAATGCAAAAATACTATTTTTCCAATTGTATCATTTATTTTTTACTTTGGACACTACTTCCAACACATTAATAAGGTTAATTTTATAAAAGTGTAATGTCTTATGACAATATTATTATATTTTTTTAATATGTGTGTAAAAATCTTAAACGATAATCATTTTAAAACGGAGAAAATACAAATTACTTTGAATCCATAAAAAATAGTATCTTAATTTATCCACTTAGTTTACTCCCACTAAAGATACTCTTAGAGTGTCGAAAGGAAAACATATTGAATTGGTGGACTCTCATCTCTAATAGGACACATGATCACATCCTCTATCGATCACATCTCTCATTGTTGATATTTAATCTAACAATCATCTCCACAATGCATTGAATTACACTCAAATAGTTTTTAACTGCATATATTATATAAAGACTGGATCACGTCATTTTAAATATTCAATTGACTCTTGTTTTTATACTACTTTTCATTCAATAACAGATTTAAATATTTGAATGTTAATCTTCATGTCCACCCCTTCTCCACCTCCACCATTAAAAGACTTCATTTCACTACTTCATAACACATTTCCATTTTCTCAACAGAATAAAGATAATGTAAGCTAGTTATTACATCAGCTTAACTTAATGTAACAAACTTTAACAAACTTTTAAATTAAAAGCAAAACTAAAACTAACTTGATCTAGCATACTTAAGTCAATGTAGATCTTAAGTCAAAGTAGATTTGTATCTCTCTCACGGAACAATCTGTGTTTGTTGAACTTTATGATCTTTTGCAGGCTCTAAACAATTATACATGAAAAATGCTTAGTATATTTACTTTTAATTGATTAGTATTTTATTCTATATACATATATTGGATTATACGACAACAAGGCCATGTGTGAGTAGTAGTATTGTCTTGATTCTTCTAATGAAAAAGTAACAACTCTAGGGCGGCGGTACGGGAAATCATAACTAACAACAATCTTACGTAGTACATTTAGCATTCTGTACATAGTCAATTTCAGAACTAACTATTTTGGTCAAATTCCAATAGTACCAATATTTTACTCATTATTACAAATCACTACCCAACGACAACGAGTACCAATATTAAGAGCGTTTTTTAACATAATAAAACCCTTTTAACTAATTTATGAAAAATAAAAGAAAAGACATGTTTCAAAACATAGCCAAAAGGAGAACGTAACTTTAAGGTCACATAATAGAACAGAAGCAAAACAAGAAATTAAGAAAACAAACAAATAAACTCAAACGTCACACTGGTCTTATTCAGTGGAAAATACACGCAAAAACCAATAAATTCATTTCTTTCATTCTTTTCTAGATCTATAATTTGGTTAGAAATTTTTTTTTTATAGATTTGTTTCTTCAATCAATATTAATTTTGGGTTCTTAGTTTTAGGGTTTTTTGTTCCCTATGTTGTTCACTGAATTGATACTGTGGGAGAATTTGATTATGTCTTGAAAAAAAATGTGAATTGGAAAAGTTGGGTCTCTGTCAAAGTAGGGAAAGGTAGGTTTTTTGAGAAGATGAAGAAGCAATTGACGGGTTTAAGGGGTGATTCTCACCTTCACTCGGCGATTAGAGTTGGGAATTTGGAGTTGGTCTTGGAAATTATATCTGAGAATCAAGGTGAGGAATTGAAGGAGTTGTTTTCAATGAGAAATAACTCTAGTGAAACTGCTTTGTATATTGCTGCTGAAAATGGTCATATTGATATAGTGAAGGAGTTGATCAAATATCATGATATTGGGTTGGCTAGCTTGAAAGCTAGAAATGGATTTGATGCTTTTCACGTTGCTGCTAAAAATGGAAATTTGGGTAAGTTTGTTAGATATTTTAAATGTCTATAATGTTTAGGTGTGGGGTTTTTACTATAATAGTATTCATGGGTTTCAGTTGACAGCATTTAACGCAAACATGATTTCAGATGTTTATTGTATCTTGGTCTATGCAAGTACATCGTTGATCTTCTATATGATTAGGCCTTAGGGTGTTTGATAAACCCATTTGTGATTTGGCGTACTTTTAAGCTGATTAAACTTAGTTTTGATGAATGGTTATATCAACTCTTTGCTCGACATGGCATGGAATTTGGTTATTGGTTGAATTAATATCCAATAATGGTTATATATTGTTTCGTAAAAGAACCAAAATTGTTGGTGAACCGGTGAAGTTGATCAAAGGAGCGGTGCACTGGACTTCTGGTGTAGTCGCATGGGGTGTACCTGCAAGGTTAACACTCCAACGCCCAAGTCAGTGAAATTACGGGAAGTGATGGAAAGTGGAAATGGATTTGAATTACCTAGAAATGACGTGTTTCCTCTCTTTATATAGTGGGGACGGTTAGAACTGCCTGCGTGAGACGCGGCATGTTGTGCGGTGGACCGTCTGGTTGATTTGGACGGTGTATCATGTGTAAGTATTTGGAATTACCTACCCTTGTTGATACCGAGGACTCACCTGCTCCACGCGTATGCATCCTCAGCATTCGCCTTCGGGCTTTCCGTATTGGGTCTTCTTGACGGTCCAGAACATATATTATTTGCTTATGATTTGAGTTATTGTTTCCATATATACCAAACCTTTATGTCCGCTGGCTTTCTTGGTCTTCCATTGACCTTTATTTTTATAACACAACATTATAAACTTGTGAGTTATGACCAATTTAATCTTGAGTTCTGTCTGAGTCCTTTTCTCTTTTTCTGGTTTGTAGAGATATTGAAGGTTCTAACGGAGGCATTTCCTGAAATCTCTATGACCGTTGATCTGACAAATACTACTGCACTGCACACTGCGGTCTCACAAGGACATATTGAGGTAGTTAATTTTCTCTTAGAGAAAAGCAGCAGCGTCGTAACTATAGCAAAAAGTAACGGAAAAACTGCATTTCATTCCGCTGCAAGAAATGGCCATGTGGATGTCATCAAAGCACTACTTAGTAGTGAACCTGAAATCGCAATGAGAATTGATAAGAAGGGGCAAACTGCACTCCATATGGCAGTTAAAGGACAAAATCTGGAGGTAGTGGACGAGCTTTTGAAACTGAACCCATCTTTTGCTAATATGGTGGATGCTAAGGGAAACACTGTGCTTCATATAACAACCCGGAAGGGTCGTTTACAGGTTTGAAAAATGTCTTTTTTCTCTTTCTTATGAAGCACTGAAGACTGAACTCATCGTCGGCCCAACGTGTTTAGAAGCCTAAAACACATTTTATTGTGAGGCCTTAAAAAATAACATAAGATGTTTGGAAGCCTAAAAATAACATACCGTAGTATGCAAACTTATATTAGGATTCTTGTGCTAATCTTGCAGATTGTTCAGAAGCTACTAGATTGCAAAGAAATAGACACTGATGTTATTAATAAATCTGGAGAAACGGCTTTGGATATTGCAGAGAGAAATGGTTGCTTGGATATCGCCAAATATTTGCAGGATCATGGAGCTCAAAATGCTAGGTCCATCAAGTCTCCTTCTACGAACAGAGCCCTTGAACTCAAACAAACAGTGAGTGACATAAAAAGCGGGGTTCATAACCAGCTAGAACACACGTTTAAAACACAGAGGCGTATGAAGGGTATAGCAAAGCGAATTAACAAGATGCAGGCTGAGGGGCTTAACAATGCGATAAACTCCAACACCATAGTTGCTGTCCTCATTGCAACAGTTGCTTTTGCTGCCATATTTACTGTCCCAGGCCAGTATCCTCAGAACACGAAGCAACTCGCTCCTGGAATGTCTCCAGGGGAAGCCAATATCGCTCCGAATATTAAGTTCTTGATATTTGTAATCTTCGATTCTACTGCCCTTTTCATATCATTGGCTGTTGTGATTGTCCAAACATCAGTAGTTGTTATTGAAAGGGAAGCAAAGAAACAAATGACGGCGATTATAAATAAGTTAATGTGGATAGCCTGTGTGTTAATTTCTGTGGCATTTCTCGCAATGTCATACATAGTTGTCGGGGATCAGAAAGAATTGGCTATTGCAGCCACAGCACTTGGAACGGTGATTATGGCAGCTACTCTAGGAACACTTTGTTATTGGGTGATTGCTCACCGCCTCGAGGCCTCCAGATTACGAAGTCTTAGAACAATGACGAGCAGTAGGCAGTCATTGACTATGTCCGGGATCTCAGCTTCCGAGAATGAGTACAAAGCAGTGTACGCAATATAAGTTTGATTTTATGTTTTCTTAAACCCCCCCCCCCCCCCCCCTTTTTGTCAAATTATGCTAACATCGAAGCAGGCATTTGCTGATTTATGCATGCCTTTGGAAAACACAGGCAAAGAATGTAATCATATATAGTGCACATTATAAGTAAATATGTCATTTTATGTTGAAGTATGGGATCATCATGCTCATTTTCACCTACTGGACTCCGTCGTATCTCTGCAATTAGTGAAATATCTGGCGTTCTTACAACAACAAATTTTATGAGCTTCATATGAGAGTATCATATTCCTTAACATCAAATAAAGGGTTGAGAGATTGTAGTCATCCAATTTTGCGTCTTGATGCTATCAATTTATCAAATGGTCTTTACTTGTGTTACAAGTTTAGCATATATATATATATATATATATATATATATATATATATATATATATATATATATATATATATATATATATATATATATATATATATATATATATATATATATATATATATATATATATATATATGTAGTTCTTCTGAGAATTACTACTCGCAGCCTGGCACAAGTACAATCGACCTATACTGTCTTAAATGCTAAGGTCCATGCAAAAACTTGTAGAGCAGCACAGTAGGGGTTAATAGGATGGGTGACCAATATCATGCTGTCTGATCAAACTTCGAATGAACGCGACCTGTCACTTCAGAAAATGCGGCTAATTGTGATTGGCCTATTGTGATCTTCTTTGTTCCATCCGTATCAAAATCTATTATTTGATAGAAACAATTTTAAATGAGCTCCACACTCTTAAAGAAATTGTTAGTCTCTGCATCACACCGACGAAACCAGAAAAACCGAGTATTGAAATAACTAACATTAACTTTTGATATCTTATGCTATTATTTTATTATATTTTTAAACTTTTATGTTTATTACACCATTAACATACTGAATATTCAAACTGCATTTAAATAAAAAGTTCATTCTTCTTGAACACACTCTCTCCTTATGTTTGGAGGCAACTTCTGTCTGTTTCTTACTTTCCACCAATTCTGCAACTTTTGAAGCTAACTTCCAGCAAACCTTGTGAATCTTTGTTTGAACCAGTCTCTTGTTGAGACTGTTTACAATGCGCGATAGCTCCCAAAACTAAACCTTCCATCTCAGAATTCAAATCAATCGAAAAATATGAAGATGAATAAGATCTCCTGTTTTGGTTAACGATGCCGTTTTCACTATAAAAACCCTGAAATGATTTTCTCTTAGCATTCTCAAAATGGTTGTATTTTGGTTTGTTCGATTCAGCTTCATTAGACTTATTATTAGAGGGTAATTTAGTATTTGTCATTTGTGGATATTCTCTTTTAGGGCCTATGTGACATTCTTATCTTTACTATTTTTGTGTATAAATAGGTGTACTAGGTTTCATTTTAATACAAGCAATCCTCTTTCAATCATTTGTGGCATCTTTATAGCATTTATCATTTTCTCTCCTCTTCCTCAATTTCATCACCTTGCACCAACAAATTGGTATCTAGAGCTCTTGGTTTGTTCTGAAATTCTAAGAAACACGAGTGATAGTGAGCTGTATGTTTGATTTTTGGTTCCTGATTTATGTTGAATTTTGAACAAAAATCTGAACAGAATCACACTGATTCTGTGGGTTTGGGAAACACTGAGTGAGAATCTGAGATTTGAGATTTGTGCAAGGTTTAAGATGAGTGGAGGCAGCAGTTTGAACACTAAATTTCTAGTTTTTGATGGAAAAAGTTGGAACAGATGGATGATACAGATGCGTGTGCTGTTTAGTGCTTGGGATGTTCTGGATCTTGTTACTGATGGTTATGTTCCAGTTGCAGCAGATGCTACTGAAGAACAAAGATCTGCAGAAAGAGCTACGAGGAAGAGGGATCAGAAAGTTCTGTTCTATATCCATCAGTGTGTGGATGAAAGTGTGTTTGAGAAGATTGCTTATTCGACGACGTCGAAAGAAGCATGGGATATACTGGTCAGATGTTATAGTGGTGACATGAAGAACAGTGAGAAATTTTTTGAATACATCTCCAAAATGATTCTGATCACTAATGAGATGAAAGCTTGTGGAGAAACACTTTCTGAACAGGTATCATAGAGAAGATTCTGAGGTCACTTACTCCTCAGTTTGATTACATTGTTGTTTCTATTGAACATTCTAAAAATATGGAAACCATGAGAATAGAAGAGTTGCAAAGCAGTCTAGAAGCGCAGGAGTTGCGTCTGACTGAAAGAACTTATGAGAGGAAAGTGGAGCAAGCTCTGAAGGCTTCTTTTGTCAAGAAGGATCAGAAGTAGAATAAACATGGTGATAAATTCCAGAAGTCAGAAACCTCAACTTCTGATGAAAAGAAATATCAGAAGGGAAAGGAAAGGTATGGCAAGAAGAAGTTCCAATGTTACTGTTGTAAACAGTTTGGCCATTTTGCCAGAGGTTGTAGAAACAGAGGACGAAAATCAGAAGAAGAAAATATAGCCAGAGGAGATTCTGATGATGAACCTGTGCTACTAGTGGCTTCTGATTCTGATGGAAACTGTTCAGAAGATTGGTGGTATATGGACACTGGCTATTCAAACCACTTGACTGTGAACAAACAATGGCTGATAGACTTTGATTCCAGAAGGAGAACAAAGATTAGATGTGCTGATGATAAGTATCTTAATGCAGAAGGTATGGTAAATGTTAGAGTCAGAGTGAAGAATGGAAAAAAAAACATTCTGATCAAAGATGTTTGGTATATTTCTGGAATTAAAAGAAATCTGATGAGTGTGGGTCATCTCATTGAAAAAAGATTCTCAATTGTTATGAAGGACAACCTCTTGACGTTATATGATTCTAATCAGAAGTTGATTATGAAGTCTGAGCAGGAAAGAAGCAGAATATTCAAGGTGAATGTAGAAACTGCTGAAGCAGAGTGTCTTAGTGCAGAAGGCGTTGAAGGTGACAGTAAACGGTGGCACAAGATGTTGGGGAACTTGAACTATAGAAGCTTAGGACATCTAAGTTCTAAGAAGCTTGTACATGGAATTTCGAAGATTGTGAAGCCTCAGAATTCATGCGAGATATGCATGAAAGACAAGCAACCCAGATTGCCATTTGCATCAGAAGTGGCCCCCAGAGCGAAGAATGTTTTGTGAGTAGTACATTCTGATGTGTGTGGACCATTTCCAGTATCTTCACTTGGAGGAAACAAATGTTTTGTGTCTTTTGTGGACGAGTTCACAAGAATGACATGGACAACACTCATTAAATTCAAGCATGAAGTGTTTACTGAGTTCCAGAAGTTCAAGGTGAAGGCTGAGAAGCAAAGTGGTCAGAAGCTGAAGATTCTGAGAACAGATGGTGGAGGTGAGTATAACTCTACAGAGTTCCAGAAGTTCTGTGAGAAGAATGGAATAGAACATGAGGTTACTGCTCTATATACTCCTCAGCACAATGGTCTTGCTGAAAGAAGAAATAGAACTTTGCTTGATATGACCAGAAGTATGCTGAAAGAGAAGAAGTTACCTCATATGTTATGGGGAGAAGTTGTTGCCACGTCAGCATATGTTCTGAATAGGTGTCCAACGAAGAAGCTGAAGGAGATTGTTCTTTTAGAAAAGTGGACTGGAGACAAGCAAAGTGTTAGCCATCTGAGGGTGTTTGGTTCTATATGCTACAAACATGTTCCAGAAGTTAGAAGACTGAAACTGGATGATAGAAGCAAAATAATGTTACTGGTGGGGTACCACAGTACAGGTGCCTATAAGCTTTATTGTCCAGAAATCAACAAAGTTGAAATCAACAAAGACGTTATTGTGAAAGAGTCAGAAACATGGGATTGGAACAAGCTTCAATCAGATTTTGGTGTAGCGCAAATACCAGAGTTAGTTTCTGAAGATTCTTCAGAAAGTCCTGAAGACGAGTCAGAGTCAGAAGATGAATCTGAAGACTCTGAAGATGAGTCAGAATCTCAGGGAGATTCTGATAGTGAATTTGATTATGATTCAGATTCTGATGATGATCCAGAATCTGGTGGTGATTATATTTCTGGAAGGGAAAACTCTGAAGACATATGGTCTGGAGGACAAGCTTCCAGAAGTAACTCTGAAGGTGGTAATTCTGAAGGAAGTAGTTCTGGACAAGGTCCAGAAGCTAGCATTGTTCTAAGTTCTGGAGAAGTTTCAGAACAAGTTCAGAGGCCATAAAGAATCAGACAAATATCAAGTAGGTTTGCAGATTTTAGCATGTTGCATGATACTGAAGTAGATTCTGAAGGAGAAGTTGTTCAGTGTGACATGTTAGTAGATTCTGAACCAGTGGGTATAGAAGAAGCTCTCAAGAAGAAAGTATGGTTGAATGTCATGAAGAAAGAACTTGAGGCTATTGAAAGAAACAAAACTTGGAAGCTGACGAAGCTTCCAGAAAAGAAGAAAACCATCAGCGTCGGATGGGTTTTCAAGGTGAAGCTTAAGTCAGATGGATCAATTGACAAACACAAAGCGAGACTAGTGACTATAGGTTTTCTTCAGAAACCTGGGCTAGATTACTTTGAGGTGTTTGCGCCTGTAACTAGACACGAAACAATCAGACTGGTGATTGCTTTAACTGCAAACAGAAATTGACCTTTGATACATCTGGATGTGAAGTCTGCATTTCTGAATGGTCTGTTACAAGAAGAGGTATATGTATCACAACCTCTTGGATTTGTGAAAAAGAATCAGGAAGAGATGGTATACAAGTTACATAAAGCCTTGTATGGACTGAAATAAGTGCCCAGAGCTTGGAATCTGAAAATTGATTCGTTTTTCAAGAGGCAGAAGTTTCAGAAATGTGAGGTGGAATATGGCGTGTATGTGCAGTATTCTGGTGGCAATGTGATTCTGGTGTGTCTATATGTTGATGACATATTGCTAACAGGAAGTTGTCCAGAAGATATAATCAAGTTCAAAGAAGTTCTTGAAAATTCTGGCTGCAGATACTCAATGTCACAGTCAATATTAT